GGGGGGTGTAGAGAATAAGTTGGAAGCAGAACATTAATGAAGAGCTGTGCAGACATTGGTAGGGCTGAACAGAGGTAGTGATCGCAGTTTGCACAGGTCAACATCCAAACTTCTGTTGTTTGGTTTTGGTTTTAAATTATACACCCTGTTTAACAGAATAATAAGAATCAATCTGTGTTCTATATCAGGATATCTCAGTTGGTTTTACACCACAGAACCAATGAAAATAAGAAGCTACAGTATACATGGGGCCAAGCGGATAAAATCAACAAGGTAACAGCTGAAGCTGCTAGTATACAGAACACGGTTGAAATAAATGTGAGGCATCGTGGTGAAATCAGGCGCTTGTCAAAATAATGAAATCGAAGAAACACATTTTTTCGCCAGTTTGGTAATTTGTATCGATTTCTGAACTTTTTTTTTTGGCTCAACATCTTTTATGTTTACATTAAAACACATTTCCATGGAAATTTTACTCACAAACATTGATTAAAGGCAAAAAATAGGTAATTTTTCAGTTTTCAAGGACTGTGAAGCTATTGAGGTTACCTAACTTTGGCGGCCATTTTCTTGCTAATTTTAGAACTGAAGCTAGGCTACCCCAGTGGAGCATAGGCCATCAACAACATTTCTTCAGGGTAGCCTCTCCTGTGCATCCTTTTCTAGTTGTTTACATGATGTCCCCGCCTTTTCCATTTCCGCTTGTACCACAGTTGAGCATTTGTGACTTGATCGTACCACTTGATCCCCACTATTCTTTTAAGACATCCATTTATGAACCTCTGCGTTTTCCTTGCTGTTGATGCTGTGGGCCTCCATGTCTCTGAACTATACAGTAGAACAGTCTTAACGTTAATATCCTTCAGATGATACCAACAACTCAACATGCACAAAAATTGACAATCGCCTGATTCCACCGGTTAACATCAGACGTAATTATGTCTGAAATACAATGGAAGAAGACAAATGCATACTCGCTGTTCTTGCAGTCTGCTTTTCCTTTGTGCCCTTGAACATATTTAGGGGGCAGGCAGTCATCTGCAACAGCCCTGGCAATAAATTTACCAACAACCTGAAATCAGAAAAAGGATAAAGTAAAAAAAGACGTGAAACTTACAACTCCATTGGTATCCTACTATTACATTAAGAGCCACGAGACTGGTTATGATTCACAATTGATCTTTTCTACAAACATGTCAGCAAAACAATGGAGGTGAAAGATCAATCCATCTTGGAACTTCAAAACTTGTATCCATATAATGCAAGCAAGCTACAATTGTTATGCTTTTGTAAGGTTTTACGGCGTTCGCAACTGCATACGGTCATATGAGCGCCATACAATTGTTAACATGTTACTACAATATAGCACTGTAAAGAAATACCCCACCCGTCCTTCCTCAGGAAAGACTAATCAATCTATCCTAAAGTACAGAGAATACATTGAATGTGATGTTACTATGAATTTTTAAGAAACTGAACAAAGGCTAAATGTCGTACTTCAGGGGCATGAGGAGCATCCAAAACAAGGTCAGTGAGTTTTCCCAAAAGGTCATCAAATCCACTCATAATATCATTGTGATGAAGGACACGGCTGTACAGCTCAGACAACAACACGGATGTCATCTCACAGTGGGCTGCTTTGTGGTCTATTGCTTTGCTGACCAAGTACTCGACCAGCTTTGGTTTCTTTGTACCAAGGTTCAGGTCTTCCAACGACCTCTGGAAAAAGAAAAAAAAATCAGAATCAAAATGTTCGTGACAAGACTACTTTCCTGGCAAGGTATTCTAAATGATCTTACTCGATCCATGTCTTTTTCAAATTCCAAATATGTAAAAAAATATAACAAATAATAATTAGAACACAGGAGTAAATATCTTCTTTTATCAATTTTGGAAAACGCATACATTTTCATACAAAAGTGTATGCACAAGTGTGTATGGTTGGGTGGGTGGGGGGGTTGTTTTACTCATTATCTGTTTGCCCATTTATTTTAACCCTCTAATAAGTATTAAAGGAACATATCACAATAAGGCCCCTTTCACTTTTTTCACATGAAAACAAAACAAAAAAATCGAATCAATTATCAATACACAACTACACGAATAAATATTAAATACCACTAAGAAAAAGGGAACATACCACAAACTCCTGCGCATTGTTGTTTTCATAGTACTCGAGAACAGCAGGCTCCAAGAGCCTCTCCAGCTCTTCCAAAGTCACCTCTGGGTCAATTTCCTCAATGAGGTATTCCTCCTGAAAAAGATATCATGTGACTCAGTCTACATGATCTATAGATAAAACTTGTAAAAGAAATGAACCTAGAAGAAAATGTCCTGCAAAAGAAGTCTCCGAAAATTCTGACTACATACGCTTTACCTACTTAGTTTTTTTTTCAGGATTTGAACGTAAGTATCTCGTGCAAAAAAAGCATTCACGGTAACAACAGAAAATAAACTAAAAACTTAAAAATAACAATACGGCGAGTCTTGCCTTTAACACCAGTAATATATAAATGAATGAAGATCAGTTTACTTTTTAGTGACAAGTTTAATCAGAATGTAATCCCCAAATTGGAAAATGTCTAGCCTACAAAAATTCAATCTTGGACCACCGGGATGAGATCATTCTTTTTTACTTAAACCTCGCTCCAGCTAAATGTCACCTCAGCAGCCCCAAAGATTTACGTCTGTTGGTACAGGGTCAAAACTTCAGAAATGCAGCACTACCTTCCAGCCAAGCCGTAAGTACCAGGAGTAGTCTAAATTTTCTTTGTTCAGACCTTCTTTAGGTGCGCAACTTGCACACAAGACCTCCAGATTTTTTGCCCTTATCCGAGAATGCTAGGTATAACTCTGGTATTTGATCTTACCGACCCTATGATCAGGGGAATGACTGAAAGACAGCAGTAAGAAGGAACCAAGGAGTAGCAGTAAAAAGGCTGCACAAAGAGTCAGGAGCCCAAAGGAGGGAGCAAAGGGGGGAGCGGGTGATGGGCAGACAGTGGAGACGAAAGAAGACAACAGAAGAACATGGTTAAAGAGCAGGAAAGGAGGTGAAAGGAGAAAATTTTTCCGTCACTGTTGGTCTTAGAACCCGGGACATATTGAATGAGAGGTGAACTCCGTAACCTCTAGACTACGAGAGCCCCCCCCGTATTTTTGTTTGTATTCTTGTCTCACCATATCCCGTTACAAAGAATTCTTTCCTATGCAACTCGTGTTAAGGAAGTTACTAGTCTACAAATCAGTTCTGCTTCACAATGCACAAATTCATTAATATTTCATCAAAACATTTCCCACTTACCTCACTCTCTGAGTCATAATTCGGGTCATGGGAGTCCTGGCAATGTCCATCTTCATTCACTTCCTCTCCTGGTTTACCCCACACCCCTTTTCCACCAGCACCACCTGGAAACAAATCATAATATTGACAAATTATTATACCTCAAAATCACTTTTCTTTTCATTAATCAATGAGCAATGTTCATATAAATTGACGTGCTCTCTAACTGTGTTCTATTGTTCACTTTCGTCGTAACTCCCCCAGCTCCCAACTCTTTCTGCAGCCTTTCTACAGACCACTGCCACTCCTTGGCTCCTTTTACTGCTGTCTTTCAGCAACACCCCTGATCTTAGGGTAGGTAAAACTAAACTCCTTGCCTTCTAGAGTAAGGGCGAAAAATCTTGGAGGTCCTGTGAGAAATTTGCTCAGGTTTAATGTCCCTTGGTGGTCCAAAATTAATAAGATTAGACTTCGGCTGCCACCCGCGCAAAATTCAAAATCATTCCTACCAAACAGAAAAATGTTTAAAGTGTTCCGTGCCCTCATATGACCTTATATGCAATTGCGAGCCCCATAAAAACTTACCAAAACATGAAACAGCCGTCAAATCAGAGGTTAGCTGGACTTTTCTATTATTGAACTTTGAAGTCTGAGACAATTAAAAAAGTTAAAGTACATTTATCGATATTATTCAACTAATCAAACTAGACAGGTCTACAGAATGAGGCAAAAGTGCATCAGGACAGGGTTTACAATCAAAATCAACAATTAAAAACATGTTCCAATGACAATGAGTAGAGGCCCTGGATCAATTCAAGGGCATATTTTTCAACCTCCTCTGATGATGAGATATCACTATTCATCCTGTTAAAACCTAACTTCTAATTATTATTATTATTATTGCCATTCTAAACAAATAAATTCAACAGTAAATTCCACCCAAGTAGCCTACACATGACCTAACCCAGACACAAATCATATCATGATGTCTTTAAGAAAAGGCGAACTGTAGCAAGAAACCAAAACTGCATTACTCTGGAAACTGATAAAGGCCCACCAAAAAAGTGACCGCCACTTCTGATACTGCAACATATTTTAGTTCTCAAATCTCTCACTCTTGCTTCCCTTTCTCCTATCCCCAACTTTTTCTCTCTGCCCTCTAGTCCATTTCTTTCATACTGTCTGCTATGCAGCACTTAACTTCATTTCAGGTCTTTTCTCTTGCCATTTGTTTCTTTTCTGATGCCATCAGTAAGATTAATCCATTCAACCCTGACCCCTGAGCCTGGCAGAACATGTGCAGCTGAGCTCTCTGCCTCATGCGGGTCCAAAAGTAAAAATTTACCCTTTCTGGGGCTGCTGCACTGGCGACAAGAGAAGACAGAGACTAATAGACCGGCATAACAGCTACATAGGTTCAGCGGCAACATTACGACAGACATGTCCATGTTTGGATCTAGATCTATTTCTTGTAGTTGTAGCGTCGTGTCGTAGTCAAGTGTCTTTTGACATTGACTGAGATTGGGAACAGACGTTGACCTTGAAAGATTCAACTGCAACTGTTTAACTGGTATTTGTTTACTTTCTTGCGTTTAATTTCGACTGCGCCTAGATCTAGACGAAACTCTATGCATCCCAAACTGGATATTCAAAATTTTGCACTGGAGTTAAGAATACGTAAACCACGGCAATTTCATCATTTAAGTAGTAACAATACATACTGTATTTAGGCCTTCTACTTCTGCACTGATTTTGGTAGCCATGAAGTAGCCTATAATAAAGAGTTCAGAGTGGTCGCTCATTATGGAAGTCCTCCCCCGGAATTAATGCGAGAAAGTAAACAATTAGGCTACTGTACGTAGATCTACTAATCTAGAATTTAGATCTAGATTTAGTTTAGATCTAGTTCACGTTCTGAATAGCCTACTGTCGAGTAGGCCTACTGAGTCTGAATACCCCCCGGGTATTTCCGGGGTGCCTTGCCTTGATAGTCGAAGCAGACCTTGTGCTGTTGAAGCTAGGGAGGCCAGCAGGGGAGGACTTCCGTAATGAGCGACCACTATGAGACAGAGCAGGGTAAGATTGAAGAATACCGGACCAGCGGACTGACTTTGCCTGTCCCAACCTTAGGAATTCATGATTTCCCCCAGTTTTTAATATCTCTCCATGGAGAATCTCGGACCGGTAGATCTATTCATTAGAATTTTGTCAGGGGGAGACCCCCCTGAACCCCCACCAAGCCCATGTTCTCGCGCAATAATGTATACGAGTGGTCCGGTATTCTTCAATCTTCCCTAACAATCAACCTGACGAAAACAAAAACAAACAAAAAAACAGCAAAGGAAACTGCTGGCCTGGTCTAGATCTACAGACTGACACTGACAGGCTTTGAACTTCAACTTGAATGGTTGCCTTTTCAATCAGCTGTGCCGCTGGGGGAACAGAGGACGGGTAGCCTAACCAAGCCTAACTAACCAAGTTGTTTTGAGCCTCGAGTACTTTTCGCTGCACTAACCAAAACAAAGCCCCACACTTGAAAACAAAAATACAACCACGTGCTCACCTTTCTTCGGTAATCCTCGGCCTCGTCCGTCCCGAGACTTCCTGCTATTTTTAGCCAAAGTTGGGGGTAGTGTTTTCTTAGCTTGTCCAGCTGCACCCTCAGCAGCAACCTCTTTTCCTGGACTTTGTCTTCCTAAAAGTCTTTTTGCTTTGCGAATGGGTCTTGAAGACAAGTCTTTAGAGAGTTCTGCAAGTCCATCTGCGTCCTCCTCGATATCTCCATTCACCATCTCTTCGGAAACGCCATCTTGAACATCTGCACTAACTTCCATTGCTGCAGACATTTTCCTTGCGATCTAGCTATCGAAAGCAATATAACCTTCAGCGCAGAATATCACTGGGACACTTATCTAAACAATTCAAGCAACCAAAAATGCAAAGAAAGCACACAATATGGAAATGCACGCACAAATTTCACACACAACTCATCATCACCGCCGAGAACGTGTTTACAACTTTACCTAGATCTCAACGCCCAATTTGATTGGTTGTTAACTGGTTCTTTTTCACCTCCAAGCCAGATTTTTTCCAGAGAGTCAGTAAAGCTGTTGGATTCTAGATGGTGACCTTTCGACATTTCAAAACAAATGCATTCAGGGACTTGGTAAAAATTAATACTATTGATTTTTATTTTTTATTTTAGAGTTTACGATTATACTGTACACGCGTAAGCAAACATAACTACAACTCACCTGGTGACGCAGACACTTGCACAATATTTGTTTAACTGAATGTTCGAATCGAGCACTTTTTGTTGAATGTTGACAACAGACATTATAAAGATAACCTACATATTATATAGGGCTAAATCTACACAGATTTGGGTTATCAATCTCAATTCAAATAAGTGTAGTTTTTTGCTCTTGGTCTCTGGAGAGAATTGGGAAATATAATGCAGTCTAATTGCTGGGCATTAACTTTGTATTTGGTTATTTGATTTATATAGCAGGGCTATCGTAGTGTAAACTTTACATGTGCTCCTTCAAATTCAAGCGTTTAGTCCTCATTTTTAAAACTCATCGTCATGCTATCAAATCCATAAAATGCACGGAATATTGTTCAAAATGAAAATTATAGTCTGACAGTTCATAAAATTGTGTTTATTTTATCTAATAATATGTTTGCTGCGTTGATCTATCAGCCCAGCTGGCATATCAACAAGGCTAGGCTACTTTTAGCACGAGGCACGTAAACAAAGTCGCGGAGCCTTCTTTCGCTTTATCGGACATGACAATAACAATAGATAAAAACATTTTTTAAGCAAATCTTTTCACGGCATTTAAGTATAAGAGTTGGGAGTTCTTCCTAATTTTTCAAGCAATATATTCTCTGTAAGCATTCAATTTAGCACTCATCTTTTTATATATATAAGCTTCTTCGGGTAGCAGTGATCATGTTCAGGGAACATCTGTAGGCCTACGTGGAGGACCTGTACAATAAAGTTGCAAGGAGATCAAGACGGAATAGATTGAACGGGCCTCGAGCGCTAGATCTCTGTCTTCAAGTTCAAGAAAGGTCATTAATAAACAAAGCCATTTTACGCTGCTTCTTAGCGCACAGGCTCATAGTTATGACCTCGTGGCCGAAGAAGGTTCTATCGGTTCGTTTAAATGCAGAAATAACTATATATATATACGAATAAGATCCGATTGAGACCCCGTCTCGGCCTAAGTAGCCAATTATATTACATCTACATTTATCAAAATAGTTTTGGTAACTCTCTCTCTCTCTCTCTCTCTCTCTCTCTCTCTCTCTCTCTCTCTCTCTCTTACACACAGAGGTATGGTCAAAGCAGTGGCAATACTTTCGGTTCGGTTTGCTCACCAGATCGCATAGCGGCATGGGCGATAACATAGAGAACGCTGAAACATTATACGGGGGTGCCCACTACGGCTGGGATCGGTCGATCGAGTTCGATCGCCTCAAAAACAAACTTGTTTGTTTTCACTAATTTTCAGTTTCAGGCGATCGAGTCGGGCGATCGGCCCGATCCAGCCGTAGTGGGCACCCCCAGCTGAAGATCGATGCGCACAGGCGCCAGTGGCGTGTGCTTGACTCCACATAAAGGGCGCCTATAAAGCCTAGATCTAGTATAAAAGGAAAAAAATTACACCACAACACAGCTAGAAATAGTGTTTATTATGAAATATTTATTTGGGGATTTTTTAAAAACCTCGAAATTACTAAAATATAGCTTAATATGTAATTTTGCTCGGATGCCACCTGAATTCGACGACGCTGATTTCAAAAATGTAATTAGTTTTTGTCTACCGTGAAACACCAGCTCTGAAATGGCCATTTAATATTGTCGCCTGTCCAGTCGGGTGACGTACCGGTACGCAAACCGCTCAACCCGAGGTGGAGACGACAGAGTTAGCGACCTCAGTGCTTTCTTGTCGCATCTCAATTTTTAATAACAGTGAAAGCAGTTCACAACAAAGAGTGAGCTTAAGAAGAAGTCGCATTTTTACTATTTTAAAAAAAAAGGAGATACGACAAGAATATAAGCACTGAGGACGCGAGTTGACAGCGAGTCCCAGGTTTTCGGCGTAATAAGAATGTAGTTTGGATTCCGATAAAGCCGACAACGCCGATCCGAGCTTAAAGCCGCCTGCTGTCTGCCAGCTCTATGTGGGGCAAGTTGGAAATCATATGGGAATTTTCGTGTTGCCGCAAAAACGCGTTTGTATTCAGGCGACGAGTCGTACGATCGGTTTGTCGATCCCTCAATGAGCACTCCAACTACACAAGATACAGGCTTCACGAATACCAGAGGGATGCTTTTTTTCAGTTCTCTTGCAGGGCTTCAATTTAAGCGAGGATATACGAGCCTAATTAAATTTCTTTGCATTTAATAACAGGCCTACCGCCACTGCACTCATGTTTGAACGCTTTTGTAAACGTTTGTCCCCGACTGGGTCAACGGTTTGTACAAGCCGAGGCGTACGTGTGGTACAGTACGTAGGCCTGCGCCTCGGGCACAAGGGTTGTAGGGATGCCATTGACTTGAAAGATGTTAACCGATGTAGGCAGCTATAAATTATATGTCAAGGCATTTTATAATACATGTAAATAATACCATGAAGTTGCAAGCGCCGTAAAACTCCTACAAAACAACAACATAATAAATAATATATGTTCCGCGCAATGGGCTGCGGGTTTTAACGATAGTAAAATTGCGCGGCAACCTGAAGATTGCGTTAATATTATATATTTTTAAAATAGTTTTTTTTTAAATCTAAAGATTCACTTTCATATTTATTCGTTTACCCGCATCAAGGAACCTTCATATATATTTTCAAAGGTCTAAAAATATTAAAATCAAAATTAATGTACATGTATAGAAGTGAAGAGCTCACAAGAATGATACAATATCAGATATCCAACTTAAAGTTCACAAAGTACATTTAATTTATTCCATATCTTTTAAACAATTTTTAAAATTCACTTCCATCTTTATTCTATTACTCAAATCAAGGAACATTCATATATTTTCAAAAGTGTAACAATATGAAAATTAAAATTAAAATTAACATATGAAACTGAAGAGCCCACAAGAATGATACAATAATTATACTATCGTTAAAACGTGCAGCTTAAGGGGAGAGTACACTCCCGGAAAAATTTTCTAATCGAAAGACTTTTATTCAATTTCAAGTAATTGTGCAAGAAGTTCATAGGTAAATAGGATGTACTAGGGGCGAATTTGTTGAATTTTTCTAAAAAATGGGTCTCTGTGGCGGCCATCTTGGATTTTCAAACCAGTTTCTTAGTGCAGAAGAATTTCATAGTAAATATTGAATTATCAGCCTGAAATTTGGCACACAAGTACAAACCTATATGAACTGAGGATCTATGAAAGGATTTTGACCTATCTTTAAAACTAAAAAAGTGAGCCCAAAGTCAGTGGACCCCCTAGAGTCAGTTGGCGAAATTTCGGGGTACATATTACAAAAAAATTGAACATTTCCTAAAGTTACCAATATTTCACAATTCCCTTTCATGGATCCCCAGAATTGATCTTAAAGCACCTGTACACCAAATTTCAAGCTCCTAGCTTCTGTAGTTTTTGAAAACTCCTTGCACCCAGGAGGTCACATATGTCAAAAAGTAGATATTGAGAAAAACAGAAAAAACAGGGATTTTTTAAAGGATTTTAAAAGCAATTTGCACTTTTCAAACGCCCTTTTATGTCATTTAGGGTGTTTTTTCAACAGTTTCTTCATTTTGACTCAATAGAACAGATGTCAAAGGATGTTTTTCCTCAAAAAACAAATGTTGGATAGTTTGAAAAATTGTATCGATATTGCCATGGATCGCGACCCGGGTCTTCCCTTAAGATTGCCGAGCAATTATACTATCGTTAAAACGTGCAGCTTCAGATTGCGCTCATCGGTAGCGTTCAAATCCGGGTAGCGAAGGAAAAATGTTCTTCTCTTAAATTGTCTCCTTTCACATCCTTTCCTGCTCTCTAGCAATGTTATGTTGTCTGCTTTCATCTCCTTTTTCTGCCCCCACTCCCTTATCTCCTTCGCCCCCTCCTCTGAGCTCCCGACTCTTTCTGCAACCTTTCTACTACTACTACTACTCCTTGGTTCTTCTTACTGCTGTCTTTCAGCCACACCCCTGATCTTCTAGTAGGTAAGATCTACACCTAAATCTAGCCTTCTCAGACAAGGGCAACAAATCGCGGAGGTACCAAGTGCAAGTTGCGCACGATAAAGATCCCTTGGTGTTCTAAGATCGATAAAAGTAAGCTTCGGCCGCCACCCGAGGCAAATTCAAATTTTAAGATTCCTACCTAGGCTACTGAAAATGTTTAATGTGTCCCGCGCACTCATATGACCTTATGCAGTTACGAGCACCGTAAAACACTTAGATCTACAACTTTTTTAAGAAATAAAAAAAATAATTTTGAAAAAAAATTTAGATCTAGATCTAGATATCTATATTTTAAAAAATAAATTTTAATATAAAAAACTATAATTTAAAAAAAAAATGTATATATATATTTATATATATTATACATGTATATACACACAGTCGAACCTGTGTAAGACGGTCACCCATTGTCAAGGAGAAATAAATGGCCGTATAAGACAGGTATCCGTCTTAGGCAGGATTGATCAAAATGAAGAAAGAAAACTATTTCCTTCTGAGATCCCAACCGAAGGTAGTCGCATTGTTGTTGTTGTTGTTTGGTTAGCTTTTTAAAAATTATTTTGTTGCTCATTTTGTGCAAGGGTGACAATAAAACGAAATATGTCAGACGAGGAAGACCGACTGCAATGTTAAAACGAACACGTGGGTCGCTTCCGCTCAGAGAACGAGCGACGTTTCTGTACTGACAACCATTGTTACTTTGTTTCAGAGGGGTAAACAGTTATCACTCCTCTCACTTAATTTGTGGAGGAGTTGTGGGCCAGGCTTGTGAGCTATGGGTGAACACACGCTTATCTCACCAGCAGCTGAAAATGTATTGTTAACTTTATTGGTCAACAGTGGGAGGGGCCTACGCAACATGATCGCTTGGAGAGACTATCTAACAACAACGACAGATGATTGGTTTATGACGGCCGTATAATACAGGTGGCCGTCATGGCAGGTCCGACCGTCCTGTTGTACAACAGGCCACTTTCCATTTCCACCTAGGCTGAGGAAGCCTTTATTTCCACCCTTGCGTTTTTTTTCTGTAAAGTTTTACTGTGTAAAACAGTCACCTGTCCACGCGGCCGCGGCCACCATAATATTTTGTCACACAACCCCGATCACACCAAACGATAATACCTGTCTTAGACGGTCACCTCTGTCATCGCCCGACGTTTTGTCATAAATTATGTATTGGCCCCTGACGTTGTGGAAGAGTCGTCATAATTACCTGCCGTAGGTAGTCCCCCCAACTCCAATCTATCATGTTGCGTAGGCCCCTCCCACCGTTGACAAATATTTATAGGTAACAATACATTTTCAGCTGTTAGTGAAGTAAGCGTGTGACCCCTCATAACCTATAAGCCACGCCCACAACTCATAAACAAATCGTAAGTGAAATGAGTGGTCACTGTTTACCCAGTTTGTAACAAAGTAACAACGGACGTCAACATGAACTTGCGACGGAAGCGTCGCTCGTTCTTCGAGTGGTAGCGACCCAAGTGTTTGTTTTAACCCGATAAACTGGTTGGCCTACTCGGTCTTCCTAGTCTGACACATTTCGTTTTTTTATTGCCACCTTTGCACAAGTTCAGCAACAAAATAAGAAAAAGCTAACCAAAAACAAACCAACAAAAACTGCAATAACAACAACAGTGTGGCTACCTTCGGTTGGGACCTCAGAAGGGAATGGTTTGTTTTCTCTTTATTTTGAGAGAGAGAGAGAGATAGAGAGAGAGAGAGAGAGAGAGAGAGAGAGAGAGAGAGAGAGAGAGAGAGAGAGGTGGGAGAAAGAGAGAGAGAGAGAGAGCATGAGCGTGTGTGTATGTGTGTATGTGTGTGTGTGTGTGTGTGTGTGTGTGTGTGTGTGTGTGTGTGTGTGAGAGAGAGAGAGAGAGAGAGAGAGAGAACGAAGCCTCGCTGTGCGGCGCAGCCAAAGGTGCCCTCAACTGGCCGCCATGTTTTAGTTTCAATTCCTCAGGCATCACATTATGTACTTCCTCTTGCGCATAGACTGCCACCGTGAAAAAGTTCACGTTGATATGATCCGTAATAATAATAATAATAGTAATAATAATAATAATAATAATAATAATAATAATAATAATAATAATATAATAATAATAATAACAATAATAATAATAAATGATTTATATCAGTGTTGATGTTCCCTTTAAAACTAAGTTGGGCCACAATATTGAGGTAGGCTACTCAATCAATCAGCCTGCTGAATGGGGCAGTTAAATGCAGATCCAGGGTCACAGATAATATAGGAGGGCTATATTAGCAAACATATGCCGCTATAACACTCACACACACACTGACACACACACACACACACGCACGTGCATACAACACAACACATTATGTTTTGAGTTGTGTGTACGTGTGTGCGTGATGATAGTGATAATGATGATTATGACCCAGAGGAAGCTGGATGGCAAATTAGAGCCGTTTTACTATCAAAATACATTTAGATCTATGTTGTCTGTCTTTATAGGGCTTTCACAGGATGGTGATTGGGGTAATGTTATAAGATCTAGGCCGAGTGGTAAATATATAGTTTAGCGCCTTAAATTGATCTAGGCTTATTAGAGGTTATACGTTAAAGGAAGGTGTGGTGTTGGCCGCGATAGAGGCGAGGCAGGGGAAATGGAATTTACGGGAGGGGGGGGATACTGTATCGGGTTAATTTGGGAGTGAGGCAGGTGTTTTTTTTTCTTTCAGGAGCACGAGCTATGAAAGGGTACCCGCATTTAATTGCTTGCTCACGCACGCACACACGCAAGCATGCACGTAAGAACTCGCGCGCACGTACGTCATGTACGCTTGTATGCATGCACGCCACAACGCACATAATTATGAGAGGCTACATAAATGTATATAGCATGATGATATAATGACGATAAGATGTCATGTTGCGAGGTGAAACATCGAGTCGTTTTAACTGCTATATTATTTATTGTACCAATTATTATTTTATTCATTAAACTTAAACTGCTTGAAAACTTTCAAAGGATCAAATCCTTACTCTATTTTCGTCTTTTCAACATTGATGACGAGGTTATAATACATGTATGTTATATATAGTAATTGTTATGCTGTTGTCATTGCTTCTGTTCCAAATCTTCAACCATTTTGGGATGACACTCAGGCCTCAGGCCTATACGTTCTCTGACCGTCTAGACTCAGGCGCTTATCGTTCTGTTGGCCTCCTAAGTGTATAATAGAATTTTCCGCATTACGCAAAGGTAAACTGTGACTCCATTTAGATACGAAGTGTCCTCTGACCTCTGAGGTGATTGCTCCTGTTATGCCAAGATAGTATTTATTCTCACTATATTTGGCGGATAATAAAACTGTTGCTTCATAATGTTAAACGATCTCAGAGATCGTACATTTAATTTATGGAAGGAGAAACCCAGGGCCCTGGTAGTCTAGATCAAAATATTCAGTTTAAAAAATGCTTATTATTTTCTAGTGCAACTAAAGTACAGCCACACCTTACCCATGTGGGTACTTAGGAGAAAGTGGCAAAGTGGTCATGCTGTGACCATAGTTTGTTCTTTCGTCTACAAAATTTAATAACTTCAGACCACTTTCAATTGTTTTCGTTGTATGTCTAGAAAAATCCAACGGTCTCGGTTACAATGGTAATAACCCTCTGAATTTAAACTATTGACGTATTTTTTCTAATTTCAGTCCATTTAATTTATATTTTAAAAAATTAGATCTATTATGTCGATGGCAGTTTTGTCTGGTCTTCTCTGGCATCCTGAATTAAAACTACAACAACATGGCTTCCATCAGTCGGCTCACCGGCATGGTGGGCAGAACTTGTCAACAATCCAAGGTAATTTGCTTTAAAACTGGTGTTTATATAGTACTTCCACATGAAAAGCATTTCTCACAGCATATGATGCTTTTTTTCAATTCGTTTTTCCAACTTTGTATTGTCTCAGTAGTTGTGTTGGTGCATGTGTGTCAGTCAAGGACAAACCCACTTTCTCTTTCACTTTCGCACAAGTATCAGCTGGGTCAAAATGATGAAACAGCCTAAGTTAAGGTTCAAAGGTGCCCCTTCAATATATGGGAGTGAAGCTTTCCAAATTGTTCCAGCCAAAATGACCTTGAATTATAATAGACTGCGGTAAACCAGACATTTTTTTTCTAGTGGTGTTGCACTGAATCCTGTTGTAGGGTAGGCTTGTCACTACTCACTACTGTCTACTGACACTGACTACTGCAGGCCTACGCCTACCCTACACACTACACTGTAGGAAACTGTGACTATGACTATTATTATATATAAGAATCTAGATCAAGATCTAGGCCTATACCTATACTATACTAGACTTCTGTAGTCTGACTATGAGATTTATCTTCTAGGTAAACCAATGTCACCCACGAGTCCCATGGGCCATATCAGGCTTCTTCTTTGCATAGCAGTTTGTATAAATTTGTCTTACACTGGACGAAGCTGCAGCGAGCACCTTGCACACCTCTGTGATTGGCCCAAATATAGATGACATACTTACGTCGTCTATTTTTGTCGTCTTCAGGGGTTTCCCTCAAGACTCTTGGGTTTCCCTTGCCACGACTTGTCAGTAAAACTGTTGACAAGATCTCACTGTGTTTTTTTGTTTAAAAAAAAAATTAATTTGTGTTATATATAAATCTTTTATAAACAATCTCAGCAATTCTCGTACCATAAATTTACATTTTGTTCTCCTCAAAGTTACACACACACACACACACACACACACACACACACACACACACACACACACACACACACACACACACACACACACACACACACACACACACACACACACACACACACACACACACACACACATATATACACACAAACACATGCACACACACAGGCACACATACACACACAAGTGCGCGCACACACACACACACACACAAGCGCACACACAGCACAAGCAGTCGGCCGATGATACCTTAGAGATGTAGTGACGAAGCCCATTGCACGCTTAGTGGCAAAGCGGGCCCGCCACGGTGGTGAGATCTTGTCAGCTGGTGAGGGAAGCCTTGGAAGATGACAAAAATAGATGGCAGAAATACGTCATCTATATTTGGGCCAATCAAAGAGGTGTGCTAGGTGCTCGCTGCAGCTTTATATATTTGGCTTTTAAACTTAGCAATTTATTTAGGCTAGATCTGGTTTAAAAAACTTTTCTTCACAGCACTTCCCGGTTCACAGCACTTCCCGGTTCTCGCACACATTTTTCAAATGCACTTTCACTTATTACTTATGGCCTACGTCATTCATGTGGCCAAACTTGTTACGAGAAATTAACCAGCTGTGAGCCTAGGCTGCCATTATGATTCACAGTTCTTTTGAATTTTATTGTCTTATTTTAGCAGGATTAATGGTTGTTCTAGCCTGTGAACTCAGCTAACTAGTTTTTGGCAGAAAACATTTTTGAAGACTTCTTGATACAAGCAGTGTAATGAAAGAATAAACTGATGACAGGAAGGGGTGTGTTCATCATCATCATCATCAGCCTTTCTCACACTCTGATAGGGCACCAACAAGAGCTCACCATCTACTTCTTTCATCTGCTGAAGTCTCCACTTCTGTCCAATTGTTTCTTATCTCTTTTTGGTCAAAATTTAAGTCCCTCTTTTTTACATGAATTAGGTTTCCCTCCCCTGTCAATTGTTTGGCCAGCGGTCAATCATCACAGAAGCAGGACCTACAGTTAGGAAAGTCTGTGTTCAACAGCAAATTGGGGTGAACAATGGACAGCTTGATTTCAGGATATGTCAGGTAAGTCTTTTATGTCACTGATATGTTTTCTTTTTTGTTATCAAAAAGAAAGGTTTAGTCATTTGCAATCTTAACTCCTTTTCTGGTTAATCTAATTTTCTTTCCCTTTCATTAGTTTAAAACTCATCATCTGTTTTTCAATAAGTGAACTTAGATTATGGGGAGTTTTCATTTCACACGACATAGTTTACAGTTGTTGTTTGCATTTTAGGACACTTTTTTAGGAATAGAATTAAGATTCAAGCGAGGTTTTTTTTTAAAGTTATTGAACTCTTGCAACACAAGTTAAAGTAGGCCTGAATTTGTTGGAGGTTTTAAAAAAAAATAAATAAAATAAATTTTTTTTAGGTTCTTAAACTGATTTCCCAAAGAATGTACAGGCATGTAACTTTATTTGCTCAGATTCAGAGGCTTGGATTATGTCCGAAATTGACTTGTCTTGTTTTGCTACCAACATCTTTTACTTGTTGTTTGTTTGTGTGACTTCTACAAAATTTAATGAGGTTTTTATAGAGGTTATAACATATTCTACAAAACATGTTAATGAAATCAAGTCTTTATGCTCAAACTCAACTGTTAATTACTTTTAAAGTAGGGATGGGGGCTCTCGTGGCCTAGAGGTTAAGGTGTTGGCCTCTCATTCAAAGGTCCCGGGTTCGAATCCGGGTAGCGACCGAAATATTTTCTTCTCTAAAATTGTCTCCTTTCACCTCCTTTCCTGCTCTCTAGCAATGTTCTGTCGTCTGCTTTCAATTCCACTTTCTGCCCCCACCCCCGCACCCCCTTTGCCCCTCCTCTGGGCTCTTGACTCTTTCTGCAGCCTTTCTACTGCTACTCCTTGGCTCCTCTTTACTGCTGTCTTTCTGCCACACCCCTGATCTTCTGGTGGGAAAGATCTACACCTAGCCTTCTCGGACAAGGGCGAAAAATCTCGGAGGGCCCGTGTGCAAGTTGCGCACGTTAAAGATCCCTTGGTGGTCTAAAATCGATAAGAGTAGGCTTCGGCCGCCACCCGGGCAAAATTCAAAATTTCCTACCAACTGAAAATATTAGGTGTGTCCCGCGCGCTCATATGACCTATGCAGTTGCGAGCGCCGTAAAACACTTTACAAAAAAAAAAAAAA